CCACCCAAACTCCTACTCCACCTTCCCCCTGCCCCTTAGAAGCCAGCCTACAAACCAAACAACAACTCATACCCAAAACACAACCCTAAAAACACCAAACCTTCCCTCAGCAAAACACAATAACACCTTTTCCAACTGTCATGGACAGGAAGCCTTAGCACCAGGATTTCACTTAGGTTTAGGGTCCACAACACAAGTAACATTACAAGTTCAAGTCCCAGTAAGGACAACTATTAACAGCTCACACTTGTCATAACCAAATGAGTTGAGTGCCCCTGTCACAATAGAACTGCCCTGAATAACCGCAGTTACTTTCAAATTTGGTACGTTCTGCCTCATTAGCTATTCCTACCTGGCAGTCTGTTATTGGCTACTCTAAATGTATAAAAATCCGTGCAGCTTCCACCCAAGTCGGAGCGCTCTGAGCACGTGGTAGAGTACGGAGAACTTTGCCACGTGGCAGAGAAAAGCTGGCAGACTGATCACCCACCAACATCTCCCCATCGCCGTCTGTTCCCGATGTATCCTGCATGCTCGTTTCTGTCTACAAACTCGCCGGCTCGTTCTGTTGCCAGTTACCTGTAACTACGCAAGCAACTCGTTACCTGTAACTACGTAAGCAACCTTACCACCTGCGCCGTGACCACCAGTGGCGTAAGTAAAGTTAAAGTAAAAGTTATTTTGCAACCAATACGCTGTGTCCCGCCTCTCCATCCACCAGCCTGCCTGACGGCTGAGTAATCCGCAATCCTCCTCAAGTCGGCTCCGGCCGTCTGAGACAACACTCAGGTTACTCTTTCAGATTCAAGCAACACCAACACTTACAGGCTTGTGTTACACTTCAGATTAAGTGTCTCTGGGACCTGGACTCTAAACCAACTGATCTGCATCTATGTATGTTCCTATCTGTACGTAAGTGGTATGTATGTAAGTTCAGTATCATGATATGTATGTGCTTGCTGTACATGGGTTACCTGGAAACAGTAAAGGTAAAACAGTACAAGTGCAACAACTTAAACTCACTAGCATGCAGAATAGAACTGGTAAACTAGAGCTCCCTAGTCTGAACAACTGAGGCTAACCAGTAATGACGGCTGGTCATTACTGGTTAGTAATGACCAGTATTACTTAATACTGGCAATTAAGTATTACTAATTAATTAGTAATTAATTACTAATTAATTAATTAGTGATTTAGTAATTAATTACTAATTAATTAGTAAGTGTTAATTACTCGCTAAATAATTAGTAAGTAAGTAATTTAATTACTTAAATTAATTAAAGTAATTTAATTACTTAAATTAATTAATTTTAAGTAATTGATCTCAATTACTTAAAAGGCAATGCCCAAAGCCTACAGAACAGGAAAGCACCCCAGCACAGAGCAAGCAACTACAACCAGAGCTACCAGCACAACTGAAAAGGTACCTGCTTCACATGGACACTGGGACTAAGAGAAAATCTGTCTCTTAACCAGGAGCTCTGGGTATGGAAAAGACACAGGATGGCTCTGCACCACCTACAAAAGTTACGCATTACAGCAGTAGGTGCTCCAAGCTGGAGAATTTTCCAGCACCACAACCCTAACCACAGCAGCTGCAAACAGGCAGCAGGTGGAAGCTAGAAACATACAAATGCACACCACAATTACAGTTAGACCAAATGCTAGGGTTAGGGAACAGGTCCACAAATGACTCCAAGACCACTTAGGGTTAGGCCAAGTGCAAGACTTAAAGAACAGATTCAGAACGGAATCCAGGTACAATTACGGTTACACCAACTGCTATGGTTAGGGAACATATTCAGAAATGAATCCAGCCCCAGTTAGGGTTATGCCCAGTGCTACGCGGACAGAACAGGTCCACAAATTAATCCAAGTCCAGTTAGGCTTAGACCGAGTGCTAGGGTTACGGAACAGACTCAGAAATGAATCCAGCCCAGTTAGGGTTACACCAAGTGCTAGGCAGCCAGAACAGGTAGACCAATGAATCCAAGGCCAGTTATGATAAGGCCAAGTGCTAGGTGGACAGCAAGGGTCCACAAATCAATTCCAGCTCCACATAGGCTTACACCAAGTGCTTGGGTTAGGAAACAGATTTAGAAATCAATCCACACCCAGTTAGCTTTACACCAACTGCTAGGGTGGGGAAACGGATTCAGAAATGAATCCAGGCTCAGTTAGATTTAGGCCAAGTGCTACGCAGACAGAACAGGCCCACAAATGAATCCAGGGCCAGTTAGGGTTACACCGATTGCTAGGGTTACGGAACGGGTCCACAAACACATCCGGGTCCAGTTAGGGTTAGGCCAAGTGCTAGAGTTAGGGAACAGATTCAGAAATGAATCCAAATACAGTTAGGGTTACGCCAAATTCTAGGGTTAGGGAATGTATTCAAAAATCAATCCAGGCCCAGTTAGGGTTAGCCCAAGTGCTAGGGGGACAGAACGGGTCCACAAATGTATCCAAGTCCAGTTAGGGTTACACCAACTGGTAGGGTTGGGGAACAGATTCAGAAATGAATCCAGGGCCAGTTAGGGTTACGCCAAGTGCTAGGGTTAGGGAACGGTTGCATAAACAAATCCAGGCCCATTTAGGGTTAGGCCAAGTGCTAGGGTTAGGGAACAGATTCAGAAATGAATCCGGATACAGGTAGGGTTACGCGAAATTCTAGGGTTAGGGCACTTATTCAGAAATTAATCTGGGCCCAGTTAGGGTTAGGCCAAGTGCTAGGGTTAGGGAATGGATTCAGAAACGAATCCAGGCCCAGTTAGAGTTCGGCCAATTGCTAGGGGGACAGAACAGGTCCACAAATGTATCCAAGCCCATTTACGGTTGCACCAAGTGCTAAGGTTAGGGAACACATTCAGAAATGCATTCAGGGCCACTTAGGGTTATGCCAAGTGCTAGGCAGACAGAGCAGGTGCACCAATGACTTTAGGGCCACTTAGGGTTGAGCTATGCGCTACGGTTACATACCAGTTTCACACATGAATCTGGGGCCGCTTAGGGTTACACCAAGTGCTAGGTAGACAGCAAGGGTCCACAAATGAATCCAGGTCCACGTAGGGTTACACCAAGTGCTTGTGTTATGAAACATTCAGAAATGAATCCAGGTGTAGTTAGGGTTAGGCCAAGTGCTAGGGAGACAGAAGAGGTCCACAAATGAATCCAGGGCCAGGTAGGGTTACATCGAGTGCTAGGGTTAGGGAACAGGTCCACAGACAGAAATGAATCAGGGGCCAGTTAGGGTTATGCTGAGTGCTAGGGTTAGGGAACAGACTCATAAAAAAATCCAGGGTTTGTTAGGCTTGCGGCAAGCGCTAGGGTTAGGGAACAGGTCCACAAATGAATCCAGGGCCAGTTAGGGTTAGGCCGAGTGTAGGGGTACAGAACGGGTCCACAAGTGAATCTGAGTCCTTTTAGTGTTAGGCCGAGGTCTAGGGTTAGGGAACATATGCAGAAATGAATCCAGGTCCAGTTAGGGTTACTACAAGTGCTAGGGTTAGCGAAGAGATTCAGAAACGAATCCGGGCCCAGTGATGGTTACGCCAAGTGCTAGGGTTAGGGAACATAATCACAAACAAATCCGGGCCCAGTTATGGTTACAACGAGTGCTACGGTTAGGGAACATATTCAGAAACGAATCCAGATCGAGTTAGGGTTACGACAAGTGCTACAGTTAGGGAACAGATTCAGAAACAAATCTGGGCCCAGTTAGGGTTAGGCCAAGTGCTAGGGTTAGGGAACGGATTCTGAAACGAATCCGAGTCCACTTATTGTTATTTCGAGTGCTAGGGTTAGGGAATGGATTCCAAAATGAATCCAGGCTGCATTACGGTTAGGCCGAGCGCTACGGTTAGGGAACAGATTCAGAAATTAATCCGGGGCCAGTTAGGGTTAGGCCAAGTGCTGGGGTCAGGAAACAGATGCAGAAATGAATCCAGGCCCAGTTAGGGTTACGCCGAGTGGTAGTGGGGACAGAATGGGTCCACAAACAAAACTGGGTCCATTTAGGGGTACACCAAGGGCTAGGGTTAGGAAACGTATTCATAAATGAATCAAAGTCCAATTAGGGTTACGCCGAGTGCTAGGGTTGGGGAACGGATTCACAAATGAATCCGGGGACACTTAGGGTTAGGCCGAGTGGTAGGGTTAGGGAATGGATTCAGAAACGAATCTGGGGCCAGTTACGGTTAGGCCGAGTGCTACTGGGACAGAACGGGTCCACAAATGAATCAAAGTCCATTTAGGGTTAGGGTTAGGGAACATATTGAGAAACAAATGCAGGCCCAGTTAGGGTTAGGCCGTGTGCTAGGATTAGGGATCGGAGTCAGAAATGAATCCGGGCCCAGTATGGGTTACGCCGAGTGCTGGGGTTAGGGAACAGGTGCACAAACTAATCCGGGGCCACTTAGAGTTACGCCAAGTGGTAGTGTGAGGGAACGGAGTCAGAAATGAATCCAACTCCAGCAAGGGGTAACGCTGTGGGAGAAACAAGCATCGCTCTGTTATTTAGTCACAAAGTTGTCAGACACCTTCGTGCACAAGCAGTTGCAGGAGGGACGCACTGGGCCTGTCCACCACATGCAATCAAAGCAAACCGTTTATATGTTTCAATTGCAGGTCACATGACAAAAGATATAACAAGTTGAATAGACAACTAGTTGGAACCCAGAACCTGCAAACACGGCAAACTGCAAACCTGGGAAAATTATGGGTTGACCTATTGACATCATAGGTCTGCTTAGTAGTTATGGAAAATTCCACAAAGCACTCCTTACAAACATATTAATGCCTGGGGTTTTCTTCTCCTACAACGCCAAGACCTATGGGTACAGCACAGGTCCACAAATGAATCCAGGTCAACTTAGCGTTACACTGCGTGCTACGATTAGGGAACAGGTCCACAAATGCATCCATATCCAGTTAGGCTTACACCAAATGCTAGGGTTGGAGAACGTATTCAGAAAAGAATCCGGGGCCAGTTAGGGTTACGCCGAGTGCTAGGGTTAGGAAACAGATTCAGAAAGGAATCTAGGGCTAGTTATGGTTAGGCCAAGTACTAGGGGGACAGAATGAGTCCACAAATAAATCCGGGTCCAGGTGTGCATTAGGGTCAGACAACGGGTCCACATATGTATCTTAGTGCAGGTTAGGGTTGGGGTGCATGTTAGTTATGGAATGGGTCCACAACTGGATCGGGGCGTGGGTTAGGGTTAGAGAATGGGTCTAGAAATAAGCTCAGGTCTGGGTTAGGGTCAGGCAAAGGGTTACAGTTAGCGAAGAGCTCCAGACATGAGTCTGGGTCTGGATTACGGTTAGGGAACCAGTTAGCATTACACAATGGGTTCTTAAATGAATCTGGGGCCAGGTTACTGTTAAGGAATGGGTTCAGAAATGAGTCTGGTGTTGATTCGATTTACGGAATGGGTCCGCAAATGAATCCGGGTCCAGGTTAAGGTGAGGCAAAGGGTTAGGGTTAGGGAACAGGTTTGCCAATGAGTACTGGTGTGGGTTAGGGAAACAAATGAATCCGGGCCTGGGTTCGGGTTAGGGACTGGGTGCCAACACACTTCACGGCATTCAATTCCTCCTGCTTCCGCCTCCATGGGCACTGCTTGGCTCTGGTCCCTGAACCAGCATTCATTTCCCTCCACGCGGCGCAGGATCCTACAAGGGACACAACAGGCCATTCACCCCAAAGGGCACAAGTGAACAGAAGAAGGGACCACCAAGTACAATTCCCACCCCACCCACCCAGTTCAAAGCTCCCCAAGCGGTGCATGGCCAAGACACACCCCTCCAGCCATGACAGGAGCCTCAGCCCTTAGACAACACTCACCCAACCTGGCATAATTCTGCTCCTTCTCCAGCCCAGCCTCGTCCCCGATTGCCTTCCTCTCTCACAGGCTACACGGGCACCTCCTGAGGGCACAGAGCATTCCCACCCCACCCACCCAGTTCAAAGCTCCCCAAGCGGTGCATGGCCAAGACACACCCCTCCAGCCATGACAGGAGCCTCAGCCCTTAGACAACACTCACCCAACCTGGCATAATTCTGCTCCTTCTCCAGCCCAGCCTCGTCCCCGATTGCCTTCCTCTCTCACAGGCTACACGGGCACCTCCTGAGGGCACAGAGCCAACTTCACTACCAAACAGAAGGGCAAAGGACAAACAACTGCCCCCTGGAACACAATCCCGCACCGCTCCAAGTAACATCTTACTCACTGCACACTCTGCTCATGCACACAACTCCAGCAAAAGGGCAGAGGCCTCCTTCCAGGTGACCCAGAAGTCACCATCGGTGTGCAGTTGCCTGTGTCCTCCACCTCCCAAAACGTTGTGGCTCTAGGTCGCTTTACCTCTACCTCAGCTCGCCTCCGCTCACGGTCCAAACATTGGCATCACCCCAAAACAACAAGCTATTATTACATGGAAGAGTACTCATCTCTCATAGTAGTAAAGTGAAGACCCCTCCCTCCCCCCGCCCCCACACAGCCCAGGGCTGCCGAAGCAGCACACTGCCAACCCCCCCAAACACGCGAGGCAGGGTGCAGT